GATTGTTTGATTTTGATTTAGATTAAAATTTGATTTTAATTCAAAACAAACAGGGCCTTATATTATATTTCAGAAAACTTTTCTTTGACCACAGAAGAAAATTCAGGAGTTGTTTATTTCTGATTCTCAAAATTAATTCTCAAATCAATTCNAAAATTATGAATATGTGACCATTAATCACAAAATGTGACTTTTTTATCTTTATTTAATAAATATTTTTAATTAATTAAATAAATACCTGATTTTTGAATTTTTAAACTATTTACCTTATTTTTGAATTGAGGTAAAGAATACACCTTAAATATGATTTTTTTCCCAATGATTTTCAGCTACATAGGACTAGTGTTGGCCCATTCAGAAAGCCAGAATACCAAAACAAGCTGTGAAGCAATGGGCCCAAATAAAATATCTCTTGGCCCAATTCATTATACCCCAAGGGAAAATCCCAAAAGAATTATTGGAAGTGTATGAATTCGTTTTGACTAGAGATTGCATAGAAAAAGCGGCACCTCAATGCGGAGGTTGCCTGAACGGTGTATTGCCATTCTCTATGATGCCACAGAAAAAAAAAGATTCCTTTATCAAATCAGCTTGTTGCATCCATTTTTCATGGACCGAACATGGCCAGTTTCTTCAACCTTTTTGCCGGAAATAGCCATTTTCTTGGCTAGAACAATCATCATAAAATTCCTTTTTTAAAGGAGTTTTGCAGTAGCTATTTTTCTTTTTCTTTGGTGGTTGTCCTTACTTTATAGATAGAGAACTACCCGAAAAATTCTTCATTTTCCGGTGACCTTTTGTATGTGATAGAATATGGTTAATATACTGATTTTTCACACACGGTGTCAATCTGTTGACTTAAGAAAAATGTGTCAACAAAATCCCGACTACCTCCCCTCCACGTAAACATCACCTGCACACTGAAATACCCCATTAGAAAGCAAAGGCCGCCAGTCATGAAAAAGATCCAGTGATCATTTGCACTCCGACGGTCAAATCAACGGTCGAATGAGAGATAATGAGTGCAAGAAATGAGATAACAAGATTTGGCTAGGGTTAGAGATTTCATACCTTTTGTGAGCAATAAAATTACATATATGTGTGTGTGTGCGCGCGCAAATTGGCCATGTGGGTTAGTGGGTCGAGCCCAAGCCCAAAATGTGGTTGATTAATTTAATAAACACAATCTAATTAAATAATATATGTCCAGTCAGCCAATCTAGGACCCCCTTGTTTGCCACGTCATTTATATGTATAACCTGAACTATCAAACACTCGAGACAAAGCTTAATCTATCCTAGAAACAAAGAACAAGTTAAAAAAATTCATTGACTCGGATTTGGGCCGTTCCCCACAAAATCCCCAATCATTCACTTCACATGCCAAGAAAAAAATCACTTAGTTGGGTTATTTCAAGATTTATAGCTACCTAATTTAAATATTTAATTATCAACGAGTTTAACTTCCCTCTATTAAGTCTTTGTTTGAGCTCTATTCTTTAAAAACTTATTTTTTTTTTCTAAAATTTATTTTCATTCATATATTTTCCCAACATAATAATTTTATGCGTACCCAAATTTGTTTCTGTTTTTCAATTATACATTTTCCAAAAAATCACTATTACAAAATCTAGCCTATGTTTGACCCCCATTAAAATTGTAATTCATTTTTCTATCTTTCTATCAATTACACATTTTCCAATAAAATAATATTAAACGTAATTTCAAAATTTTTCTTCTTTTTTAATAACACATTTTTCAAAAAAAGATTATTCCAATTATTAAAATTTCAAATAATGAAGGCAAAACAGGGCCCATATTCCCAAAAAATAGACTCAAAACAAACGCTAAGACCTACCAGTGATCACTCAAAAGAAATAACCCTTGCTTTTGAAATTCTATGGACCTCTACATCCAGGTAACCCTCAAGGTTTTGTGAAT